TCTGATTGGCCCAGCCAGTGGCTAGGGAGTGGGGGACTCTATGACTGGCTGTCCCTGCTGTGGCCATATGGTTTGCGTGAACATTCCATACAAAGTAGTGGAGGTCAACCTTAGGGCCCCTCGTGACTGTTCTTGTACTGGCAGCAGTAGATTCTCTCCCCGCTGTGGAAGAAGATGACCTGCTTGGGGAGGGAATGTTTCTGTATTTGCCTTCTAGAAGCTAGTTTGAAATTGCTTTTGGCATAATTTTGGCATTTGTCTGCTTTCCTATGTAATTTTTTAAGAAAAGTAATATAAAATTTTAAAAATTATTGTCCTATTTCCTTCTGGAATAGATGGGTCAAGGAGTGGAGAGGCTGAATGGTGATGAGGTTGTGGGTTATAAGGTGGCATGATTCAGTAGAATAAAAACTGTCCTATTCCCTTGGAATTTAGACATCCTGTTAGGGGGCCCAAGGGTAACTCAGTTTAGCAGCAAACCCCTGAGAAAATACCCCTCTGTGATAAAAATTTATTTTATGGGTAACAGAGTATCCCATAAAGTAGAAGCCCTAAATCTTTAAAACAACACTGGCTGCTGTGGCTTGATAATAAAGCAGCAGTTGGAGATGTTTATATGTAAAGATGCGAGAGGCTTTTGGATTTATATGTTTTAAGGGTTGGTCTGTTGTTGGTGTTTAGAGTCCAGCCTTGAAATGCCTGGTCTCTCTGGGGGCTTCCCTTTGAGTGCACGGAAGGAGGAGACACGCTGGTGGTCTGTGCCGTCCCTGGAGACCCTCAGACACAGTGTGGCTGGCCCCCATCCGGAGGTGGCAGGGTTCAGGTTCCTAGGCATCTGCAGGACGGCTGAGCACATCCACCCCCCACATCTCTCCATACATTGCCCCTTACCCTGCCTGCAGTAGTTAGAATTGTACACCTTAATTCCCTGTTTTACTGGGTCTCTGGACAATGTGAGAAGGCATTCAAAGTAGTTTGGGTTTCACCCTTACCTTGTGAGTGTAAGACCCATTCATTGAATGAAAAATAACTTGCTTTTAGGCCTGGCCCTGGAACTAGACAGTTTGTTCATAAGCAGACTGACTGCACTTAAGCTGGGCACAGCCACTTCTTGCTGTGTGGCCTTGGGCAGGCACAGCAGTTCTCTAGGCTGCTGCTACTCTCAGTGAAATAAGAATGTTGGACTGGATGACATGAAAGGCCCCTCCAAGCTCGAGGTCAGGGCCCTGTACTGCAGAGAGATGTATTCAAGTTCCTTTTCTTCATTTTTAAAAAGCAAGCTTTTGAGAATATTTTTGAACATATCGCAAAAGTCAAAAATAAATAATTATCGAGTAGGGCTGTTATTTTATGTCATTCCTTTCCTACCAGCTAATGTACTCAGCAAAACACCCTGTGAAAGGGAAGGAAAAGAAACTCCATGGCATCCCAAGTTAGTTCTACAGATCAGTCCCTTATTCCGTCACATGTCGGGGGAAGACAGACACCAGCACCAGCCCAACCCCAGTGCTCCTTTGTGTTGGCCTCGGGAGGGTTCACTGGGCAGTCCAAAGTCTGAGAGAAGGGGGAGCTCTTCTTGAAAACCTACAGTGCCCATGATTCCAAAAAATTATAAACTTAAATGAAAAGTATTGGGTCATCAAACATTAAGTTTTTAATGTTTGAGTTTTAACTTAAACATGAAGTTTGTGGGTGTTTCTGGCTGTCTTCTTTCCAGCCCCAATTTCCCCCCACACCCCATCACCACACCCAGCCCACTGGGCAGTATCACGAGTGTCTCTTGGACCAAATTTTCTGATCTTATGTCCAGGATTTTTATTTCTTAGTGATAATAATATGTGTTCTACAAAATATAAATGATTAGTATCAAATTCTACTATGTGGCTTTAAACAGGAAACTTTTTTAAAGAGAGAAATTTAACATAATATACAGGGCGAGAGTATCTTTCTGACAGTCTTTATGGATTTTGCTGGAAAAAATATATATACATCCAAGATAGAGTTTATTTTATAAAAGCTAGTTGGCAAACTTCAGCCAAATCTGGCCTGCCCCTGGATATTGTACTGTTCTTGAGCTAAGAATGATTTTCGCATTTTTAAGTGGTTATGTAAGTGCCCTGTAATGTCCTTCATTTACCTCTTGGCCCCAAAGCCTAAAACATTTACTCTCTGGCCCTTTAAGAAAAGTTCGCCAAGCCTCCTCTATAGGAAAGAGATGAGAGAGGAATGTGCCCGTAGAGAGAGGCATGTGCCCGTAGAGAGGAATGTGCCCGTAGAGAGGCATGTGCCCGTAGAGAGGCATGTGCAGAGAGCAACCTGAAAGCTGGTGATGAAAAACAATGAGGAATTTTCATTCAGATGACATAGTAGTATTTATATTTATGAAAGTGTCTTTGACAATATGACCGACTTCAGTTTATCTTGGTGTGATTCAAAGTTCTCATGTTAGAGAGTGTTCCATTCAGTAAGCAAATTAAAAAAAACACAGATAAGGACACATTAAATAAAAACACAGTAAGAAATACCATTAAAAAGAAGTTTGTGGGAAGACCCTGATTTGCATTACTGTAGTGGGTATGTATGTAAATTAATCTGAGAGCAGCCTGGACTATTTTGTTTCTAACTCCAAATATAAACCTGTGTTTTTCTTATGCACAAGCTGCCCTGTATTCTGCTTATAGAAAAGTTCCCACGCAGTAGCAAAGCTCTGTCCTGGGCGAGGTAAACAGTGGTGCTTTTCTAGCTGTGAAACAGATAGTGCATATCCCTTGGTTAACTAACGCTTGGAAATGAAACACGTCCCATCTCTTGAATGCCCTACAGGGAGCCAAGAGAAATAGAGGGATCATCGGGCTTTACAAAGGGAGTTCACAGTAGTCTCTGATAGGATGGAATAATATCTTTGAAAGTTTCAAAACACAGATAAGATGAACTCATTTGTATTTCTTGGGAATTACTCTTTTGAAACAATAAGTCCCAGCCAGGTTAAGGCAGTTCTGGTATGCAATCAACACTGCCACCTGCTGGCTTAATTGAGGAAAGGTATTTGTGTCAACATCCCTTTTAATAGAAACTACGCAATAAAAATAAATCACCCGGCAGGGTGGTGCAGAGCTCTATCATGTCAAAATTCAGTTCAATCTCTTTCCTTTTTTTTTTTTTTAATGGCTTTCACAGAAACGTGCCGTTATGTATGACTGCTATTGTTTGATACGAGTGGATATGAATTGACATCACATGCAGCTACAAACGACTTCCAAGTTACTCACGTTTAAAGTTATGGGAGTTATGAATCTTTGTGGTGCTAGTAATTCCTTTTGTAAATACCCCTGGGCCCCACGTTTTTGTCTTCTTCTTTTAAAAATATACACAAAGTCGGGACATACCGAGGAAAAGAGGGTGAAACTTACATCAACCAATTGTGTTTCATGCTGGCAGCATTCATTAAATGTCTGGTGCAAGGGAAGTTTAAAATGACTGATTATAACGTGGTTACTGATTCTTGTACTTTGAACCAGTTCTTCATTGAAAAAGAACACTGTTTTAATGGTGTTATGATTTAATTATGTTATGATTTAAGCATTAAGGCTTTAATGTTTATATCTGCATATACTCTTTCGCTGCAAACATTTACTTTTCAATAAATGTGTTTGAGCTGCACATTTGATTTAGTTGAACCAAATGTTTTTGCTACTATCTCTGCAATGTGGCTGCATCTAACTACTTTTGTATTCGTTTTTTAATAGAATGCTTGCAAACTATGAGAGCTGCTTGGAAAAAAATATATGTAAGCAACACTAGTTTCCTTGTAATGGGCCACATTCTTTAAAAATAGGTGTTTGTGATGGTGATGGGGGAGGGTTGATTTAGGGAAATCTCCATGTAAAAGTGTCAGCTGAAGAACCTAAATCTACACACAGTGATGATAACACAATTAAATTTTCCAAAGCGTGTAACTTGAAGTTTAGCATATATGCTCAAAGACAGGAAGTCTTTATTCTTAGACAAGATTTTAGAGTTTCAAATTAAAAAATGAAACAAAAAACTCCCATATAACAACAATAAAAAGCTAAGTGCAATATCACATTAAAAACCATCATATTAATTATGGTTTTAGATTTTAAAATCACATTTATAATATTGAAAGTTGGGGCAGATAACTAAAAGTAGGTCTGTATGAGCACAAAGACAAAATATTTTGGTTAAAAACATATTTTGGTTCCTATTCATAGGGCAACATGACTTATTTTCAGCAATTCTGTCTCCTTAGACTCTAAGTGAGTTTTAAGATTCTTGGAGAACAGCCCAGAGTTTCTTATTTAGTGGTTAAAGTCTCGCTGGAGTGCTCGGTATTTGCACTATTGTACCCATCAGTCCAAACTACTACTCACCAAGATAATGGTATCAGGGTTTGGCACTGGGAGGCCCCACACAGTCACCTGATTCAACTCTCTTTTGTTGGGGAAATGGAGGCCCTTCCTGGCCAAGGAAATCGTCTACAGCATCAAAACATGTTTCTAAGTGAGTCAGGGCTGAGATGTAGGTTTAGATAAATAGTGGGTGCTTGGACTCTGCTTCCTAATTGAACGAGTGCTCTTATGCAGCATTAACATGTAGGTTTAAATAAATAGTGGGTGCTTGGACTCTGCTTCCTAATTGAACGAGTGCTCTTATGCAGCATTAACTAAACCTTTTTTTTTTAGAGTGTTGTTCACATATTAATTGGTCCACTTTGTTTCCACCCTGTTTTAAAACAATCTTTTGGGTCTGTATATTTTTAAAATTTATATTGTGTGTAGGTGCATGTTATGATGAATGTTATATACAAAATAAGAACTCACAGAGTCCATGTGATTTCAAGATCAAGGTCTTCATCAAAAGTTCACAATTAGACTTTAGTTTTCCATACGGCTATTAATCTGCTTAAGTACGGAGATAAAGTGTGGGTGCTGTTGCTTGAGGAGGAGGAGATAAATGATTGAAAACTTTATGCTCCTGAATAATACCTCATATTTTCTTTATTACCCTTTGTAGAAACGATCCCAAATGATGAGGCCTCCTGTTCAATCATTTGTGTTTTCATTTGTTCATTCGTTATTCATTATCTGTTCCGTTTATTGACAGCCTATTGTGGCAAACCCTGTGTTAGGTCATATGAGAAACAGAAAGACAGGGAGATTAAAGAAAAAGACGCCGTTGCATTTCCCCCCCGTGATTCTTATTTTCCTACTTACAGGCTCTTTTCGTCCTCTTTTTGAGCAACCAGACTCTGAACTTTCCTGGCCTTTTTCCTATATTCAGGGCCACTCCCCAGGGCCCCTTTCTGCTTAAAGCAACATAATGTTTTATTAATAAGAACCCCTGAGACATCGAGTTGTTCTAGAGAAAATTTAGAAAAAGCTGGCATATTATATTTTCACATTAAAATAGCGTGGACTAGCCAAAGGCTGCATTTTTCCTTTTAAATATATACAGGAAGTCTTTAATAACAAAGGTTAATTTTAAATGCTTCAAAGCAGTGATCATATAATTTGGTAGATTGTCCATAGACCAGCATTTTTTTCCTTGTTTATCTGGGCCCTTTGCTGTAACTCACCTGAATTTGTAGTCTGGTACTTTGGCATTCACAAGTGGCATTCTTAATTTAGTATGACAATTATCAAGGGTATAAAATTATATAGCATGACAGTGTCGCTAATATCAATTGGAAAACCACAAAGTTAACTAACTAACTAACTAACTAACTAACTAACTATATATATTTGGCTTAAACAATTTGGAAATTTATTATTTCATATACTAAGAAATTCAGAGGTAAGAGACCCCAGGTTCTGCAGCTCAGTACCATCACAAAGAGCTCATGTTTTCTTCATTCATCCTGCCAGCATTTTCAGAATCATAGGAGATGGAATAATGGCCCCAGGGATGTCTACACCCTAATCCCTGGAAGCTTCGAATAGGGCAAGCTGTTGCTTCATTACAGGAAATAGCCTTATTTTGTATTGGAAATTTCTGTCTGCATTTTTTCCAACCAATGAACCCATTGCTGTGTGTTATTTATCATGGCCCATTGTAAACAAAATGTTTATGTCAAAAGCATATAAACTGTACATGTTACTGCCTACAAATAAAATTAACATATGACATACAACAACAAATTAGGAGATCAGGAAATGATGTTTAAACATTTTACGTCCCGACATTACAGTTCGTTGCTTCCATGCAGACACCTCACTGTGCCTCAGTCGTGTTTTAGGAAGCTGGTGGGTTATGCGTTGCTGTGCAATGTGGTGTAACTTTTTTTCATTTACAAACAATGGAAAACAGGCTGTCAGCGTTTTTGTGCAGAACGTCTGATTTTCAAGAACAAATTAATGAAGTTAAGTGGGAAATGTTGGGCTATTCCAAATCCGCGCCCTTGTCCCCACCAGCACCGCCGCCGCTCTCGCAGAAGCCACCGTTTCTTGCCTGGACTACTGTGGTCGCCTCTCACGGGTCCTTTCGCTTCCCATCCTCCAGCCTCTTCTCCACACAGCAGCAGAGTGACTTCCAACACTGTGGTGACATGCGTATAACAAAATTTACCATTTTAACGACTTTTAAGTGTACAGTTCAGTGGCATTAGGTGCATTCACAGTGTTGTGCAACCGTCACCACCGTCCATCCCCAAAACTGTCCCATCCTGCCAAGCTGAGACTCTGTGTTCATTAGACACAAACTCCCCGTTCCCTTCCCCCAGCCCCGCAGCCCCATTCTCCTTCCTGCCTCCATGAATTTGACCACTCAGGTCCTCCACACAGTGGAATCATACAATATGTGTCCTTTGTGTCTGGCTTATTTCTTTAGCATAATGTTTCCAAGGTTTATCCGTGTTGTTGCATATATCATATTATTATTTCTATTTATGGCTGAATAATATTCTACTAGCCCCACGTTTTGTTTACCCATCCATCTGCTGATGAACACTTGGGTTGCTTTCACTTTGGGGCTGTTATGACTAATGTTGCTATGAATATTGGTGTACAAGTGTCTGTTTGAATTTCTGCTTTCATTTATTTTGGGCACATACCCAGAAGTGGAATTGCGGGATCATACGGTAATTCTATGTTTAACTTTTTGGGGAACCACCAAACTGTTTTCCACAACAGCTGCAACATTTGTACATTCCTACTGGCAATGCACAGGGCTCCAATTTTTTCCACATCCTCACTAATACTTGTAATTTTCCTCTTTTTTCTTTCTTTTCATTTTTTTGATAATAGCCATTCTTGTGGCTGTGAAGTGGTATCTCATTGTGGTTTTGATTTGCATATCCCTAATGATTAATGGTGTTGAACATCTTTTCATGTGCTTGGTGACCATTTGTATATCTTTGGAGAAATGTCTGTTCAATCTTTGCCATTTTTTAATTGAGTTTTTTGTTACCGTTGTTGAGTTGTAGCAGTTAAATGCACGCATTTTGATTGGTTTGTTTTTCTTGATTTCTAAGTCCACTACCAGAATTGTGCTATTAAGTAGAAAAGGAAATGTCAAGATTTAGCTCATGTAGATCATGGTAGTTCTTGATAGTGCCTAATAGGGTATTTATTAGTTAATATTTGCTTCAAAAATACCAACTGAGGGGAAAAGATCGACGAGGGATTTAAGACAGTTTAATGTAATTTGATCCACGTAGGCTGTCATTTTACCATTACTGTGGACCCTCTGTTCCATCTGCACTTGTCCCTTCCCCCGAAGCATCCACCCACCTGAGCACCTCAGCCTCTGTGCTCTTGCTGAGGGGCTGACTCCTTGCTGGGTCTTGGGCTGCAAGGCGTACCCCGGGGGATCTCGGAGGAGGCCTTTGCACTATGCAGCTGTGTGGACCAGCTGCTGCTTTTCATAACATCAGCTTTTAATCCCCCTCCCCCTTTATTTTTTTAACCTCTCACAATTCTGCCCTTTGGGTTCAAAACAAATTCAGTCCTTCTATGCAACAGGCAAGAACATTTGATGAAACGTTCCACTTAATTCTCTTTTATGACTCTGCAAGGGTATCAGCTGTGTTTTACCATCGCGTCACAGAGGAGCATTGGGCCCTTACCTTCTCCTGACTTCAGAACCTGTTCTGATTGCCATTGTCACTAAAACTTGCTCTGCTCATGGCTGTGGCCACTCCTCCACTACCACTGAGCTGCCCCCTCTCTGCTGTTAACAGAGGAAGGCGTAGGGAAATAAAAGTCGACAATGCTCAAACGAGCTCCTTTCCAGTTCGCTGTTGGCTTGGATGATTTTGTATTGCTGCTGTATCCCTTCCTCTGACACCTGATAGTCTCCTTTGATTTGAAGATGTATTTAGTGGGCCTGTGCTTTCTCTGTGTCATGGGCTGAGTTGTGTTTCCCTCAAATTCACATGAGATCATATTTGGACATGGGGTCTTTACAGAGGTCATTAGGGTGGACCCTAATCCAATGTGACTGGTGACCTTATAAGAAGAGGAGATGAGGATACAGACACAGAGAGATGACCATGTGACAGAGGGAGAACACAGGGAGGAGAGAGCAACAGCAAGCCAGGAGAGAGGCCTCAGACTGGCACAGGAGTGCAGGGCAGACCCCTCTCTCTGCTCGCCCGGGAGAGCCTGGAGTCCGCACTGTGCTCATCGCTGGGGAGCTGCATGCTTGGAAGGTGGACAGGGGCAAGAAGGCCTAGACCATCGAGGACTGAGAGCCACGGTGTCCTCAGAGAACGGACTCCCGCGGACCCCACCGGCGGCTCTACCCTGTCCATCTCTCAGCTGCTCATGTCTCTACCACGTCCAGCCCACGAAGATGTACTTTGTACTATGTGGCCCAGCGCACCCCCAGCAGCATCACCACCAGGAGAGGCGAGTCCACGAGGGGCCTCTGCCATCTGCCCTGCTCCATCCCAGCACATAGAGCAATGCCTGGCATCCCCTGAGCATTTGTTAATGAGTAAGTGCTTGCAGCATACGAAAGGTTTGACGTACGCATAATTTAAATGACTGGCCGAAGTGAGGCTGAATTCAGCGCGGGACTTGTGCTGCCACCCTGCCCGTGAAGTGTGGACACGGGCGCTGAGGGCCCCAGGGGACGGCGCCTTCCGAGCACCTCTGAAGGACTAGCATTCGGGGAGGGGCCTGACCTACTGTTTGCATCCTTAAATATACCACATAAATTGAGCCCATTTCCAGATACTCACTAAGGTCCGTAGTTGGGCTGCAATAACAAATTGCCATAGTCTGAGTTGTGTATAAAGAACAAACGTCGCTTTCTCGTGGTTCTGGAGGCTGGAAGCTGGAGGTGAGAGGGTCAGCAGGATGGGGTTTGGGTAGGGCTCTCTTCTTGGCTTATAGGTGCTGTCTTCTTGTTATATCCTTACGTGGCAGAGAGTGAGCAAGAGCGACAGAGCAAAAGCTGTCTGCTCCCTCTTCTTACAAGGGTGCTCATCCCATTCATGAGGGTGGAGCCCTCGTCACTAACATGACTAATCGCCTCCCAAAGGCCCCACCTCCTGAGACTGTCGCGTTGGGGGTTAGGATTTCGACATATGAATTTTGGAGGGACACAAACATTCAGACCATAACCGTTCATGACGAACAGACTATAAATGAGAAGACCCGGGTGTCACCAAGAGTTCAGCTCTAGGAATAATAGTAATAGAAACCACTTTATGGGTGGATGACTCAAGCGTTGACAAGGATGTGGGGAGACAGGGTGTTGCCAGTGGGTGTGCAAACTGGAACAGTCATTCTGGAAAACTGTCAGTTTCTTTGTGAAATTAAGTGTGCATTTGTCCTCCGACCCAGCAATCCCAGTCTTGAAGTTGTGCAATGCATAGTTTTCACAACTGGGAGCTGTGGCCCTGATTCAAGACCACAGAATGAGCCGCTGGAACATCTGGGAGGAGGCCCTCCTGCTTGCCAGGTAGTTCAAAGACCTAGGCTCGTCATGGCAACAGTGCGGGGGTGGGGGAGAGGGAAAAAGCCTTTGTCTTTCTGGGATTGAAAAGGAAAGCAGTCATGGGGGACGGGGGACGGGGGGCGGGGGCGTATCCTCAGGCCCGGGAAGAGGAGGGGTCATTGTGGAGTCCATGAAGGCTCTGAAGCTTGCACCTCCAGGAGGTGAGAACTTGGAAGAGGATGCAGGATGCAGGAAGGGAGTCTGGAAGCGCCGGGTCTTTACAGCCATGGCCCAGGAAGGCCGGGTGATGGGGGCCCCTGTGGATGGAAGACAGGGGGTGTAGGAACCCGCCGAGCACCTCTCTTTTGAAGGACCCCTGGCTGCAGCATGAGTGAGCAACAAGTGACTTGCAGTGCTCGGTGGCAGCGAGGACCAGGTCAGCAATGGAAGCGGCAGCCTGGGGGACATCAGGGCTTTCCCTCATTCGGAAGAAGATGGTGGTGGAGCCTTCCTGGATCCCTAGATGATCCAGGAGGACAAGAAAGTGCACGTTGTGGTCCTGGAATTCCTGCCAATCTGCAGGTGGAGGCTCGAGCTGCTTCTGATTTGATCTGGAAATGTAAAGTAAACGGGGCAGCCCTCGCAGCGCTCCCAGCAGCGTGGGGCGGATCCTGCACGCTGCGAGCATTGACGGATCCCCTTTGCCGGTTTTCTCAAAAGGAGGGTCCCCGTTTGATGCTGCTTTGTCTCCTCCCCATGACTTGGCACAGAATCTGGTAGGCAGTAGTGCTCAGTAAACGTCAGCGGAAGGAGCAGACACAGGGACGCTACAGAGTGCAGATGCGCGGCCCTGCCGAGGTCCGCACCGGGCAGAGGGAAGCCGCTGGGTCCCAGATGTTATGGGAATTCCCCAAAGCCCTCGCCCACCCCCCTTTCTCTTTTTCTTTAACAGAAGGGTTTACCAAGAGCATCTTACCCCAGATCATTTGCCCAAACTCCTGGTGAGGGCAGAGTCACAGTTTCCAAATATTCCTGCTGGAGAAACAAAACGGTGGGGGAGAGAATTGATTGACAGGTGATAATTATTCTATAATATACACTCCATGCTTACTTTGTGACAAATCCTGGAAGATAAGCCATCACAAATCGCACTTTCAGCTCAGGTTTCGTGCCAACCTATTCTGATCCATCAAGAACCAATAAAGTTCTGGTTAGAAACCTGAATAATGACTGGGATGGAAAATAAATTACCCACATTCCAAGAACTGTTGCACACAGTAGGAACTTAATTCATATTTCTAGGTTGATTGATTTCCCTAGAATATATATATATTTTCTTGTAATACTTTGTACCCAATAGTCCATAAAGTAAAGAAGGGTAATTTATTTCTAAAATTTAAGGGAGAAAGCTATTGAAAATGTAACAGATTAAAAGATTTTTTGTATAGTGTAGTTAATTTCCACAGTTCTTGACCTTTGCTAACAGAGAGTTTAGTTTTGGCCTCTCTGTGGTATTTGACAGATTCCAACTGAAATAAAAACTTTACCCACAGTATTCTGTGGAATGGAGACTTGTGCAATGCTTTAGTGAGATTTAGGGATTGATATATCAGTTTTACAATAAACAAATGCAGATATACTCTTTCTAGACAGGCCATGTTGAATTTAGGGGCTGACTTGATATGGAACCCTGAGTACACGCAGGTGAAAAAGGTTTTAACAATCTCTTCAACTCCTTATCCCATTCCTGGGATGAGGTGCATTTTAGTGTTTTCTAACTACTGCACATGAATATGTCTATGGGTATGAAAACAGTCACAGATTAGATGTGAGATAGGCTTTAGAACACAGGTTTGTAGTTTCATGCACACCGAGTGGGGTGGGTACTTGCACAGTTAATGCACATCTGTTTTGCCTCTACATCCGAGCACACGGGAGAACTGCATTTCCTTTTCCCCTAGTAGTCAATCATGGCCAGGTGACTTGCTTTGGTCAATGCAATGTGATGTCTGATTTTCTAGCCTTTTACTCACCTGCCACAGCAATCCTGGAAGCAAGTGTTAGAGGATCCCTCCATCAGTCTGGGCCCCTGAGTGACAGGGATGAACAGAACTGCTCCTGTGCATTGGAAACACAGATCGTTAGTAAGAAATAAGCTGAGACATTTAGGTTGCTTGTTACTGCAGCATCACCTAGCCAGTCCTTGGCTATTATCAGATAGACAGAGAATATCAAATGCTGGCAAGGATGTGGGGAAAGAGGACCCCCCCCTACACTGCTGGTGGGGCTGTAAATTGGTGCAGCCATTATGGAAAACAGTATGGAGGTTCCTCAAACAACTGCAGATAGAACTGCTATATGATCCAGCAAACTCACTGCTGTGTATGTACCCAAAGGGAAGGGAAATCATCATTTTGAAGGGATACCTGCACTCCCATGTTTACTGCAGCTCTATTTACAATAGCCAAGAATTGGAACCAACCTAAATGCCCATCATCAGATGAGTGGATAAAGAAAATGTGGTATATATACACAATGGAATACTACTCTGCCATAAAAAAGAATGAAATTCTGCCATTCACAGCAACATGGATGAACTTAGAGAAAATCATGTTAAGTGAAATAAGCCAGGCACAGAAAGAGAAATGACACATGTTCTCACTCATAAGTGGAAGCTAAAAAATAAACAACAAAAAAGATACAACAATCACAATAATATGTTGAACTTTCAAAAGGAGAGAACAGAACTGAGGTTACCAGAGGTGGGAAGTGGTGGTGGTGGAGGGGAGGTGGGGGAGGAATTGGTAAAAGGCCACAAAAATGATTACATTATATAGTGTTGAATATAATAATTGCCCTGATTTGAGCATCATGTATTGCACACAGGTATTGATACTCAACTCTATACCTCACAGATATGTACAATCAACGATGTTACAATAAAAAGTAAATTAAAAGAAAGACCTAGCCAGTCCTGGCTGATAAACTACATTCGCGTGCACATAAAAGTGCACATATAGGTGAATATGCACATAGTGGGGAGTAAATAATAGGAATAATGGACACAGCAATGCGTTCACCAAACTCTTTCCTCCCTGGGCACAAAGATAGGCAGCATTGCTCAGCTTCTCTTGTAGGTAGGAGTTCTTTCCAAAACAATGCAGAAAGAAGTGATATTGGCCATTTCTCTTTGCTTCCCTGCCATCCAGATGCACAGAATCCAGGCAGGCTCATAGGCTCTGGGGTTGGTAGCTCCAGTAGCTGGAAGGTGCAGGGGTCTCTGAATGGCCACAGGGAGCAGAGTCCTCACACTCCTCCACGACCCACCTTGGGCTGTGATTTGAGTGATTAAAACAACAACAACATTTATTTGTTTAAGTCGCTGAGATTTTGATGTTGTTCCAGAAATAAGCAGGAGTTGGATACTACCTGAAAGTAAAAGATACCTATTTTAATCTTAAACCAGCATCATGCTTAATGGGGAAATACAAAGTATCCCCATTAAGGTCAGGAACAGGGATACCCAGTTACCATTACTGTTTAGCAATGTTCTGGTGGTACCAGCCAGTGCAACTGGATGACAGAAGAAGCCATGGGTCTTAGCTATCCCCGACAAACTGTGGGGGGCACTGCCCATGAATAGGCCCTAATGCCTCCAGAGGTTCAGTGTATGATATAAAAGGGATATGAAATCAATGAAGAATAGATGAATTATATAAGAAATAATGCTGGGACAACAGGACAAACTTCTGAATAAAACTGGATCCCTGTGCTCAAATATTAGCTCCACTTAAATTATAGATCTACCAAAGCTTTAAGTGTAAACGAACAAAACAGAAAGAAACCATGAAAACACTAAATACTATAACAGAGCATACAAGAACCTAAAAAATAATCCCGGAGTGGGAAAGGTCTTTCTACTTATGATACAAATCTCAGAAATCATAAAACAAAGTTTGTTAAATATATTTTTTAAAAATCCAAAAGTTCAAAAGTTAAAGGACAAAGTAGGAAAATTATTTAGAAATTGTCTCACTAGCAAAGGGCTAACTTCCCTAATATTTAAATTACTCCTTATAAACTAATAGAAAAGTTTCAACAACACGATAGAAAAAATGGAAAAAGATGTGAATAGACAGGACCCAGAAAAGCAAATACAAATAAGTGGCTCTTTTACTAAGCTTTTTACTGTGGCAAACTTCAAATCTGTACTAAAATAGCTAGAATAGTGCCGTGAGCCTCCCCGGCCTGTGCGCCTGACACAGCTCCGGTGTGTATTAGCTCACGGCCAGCCTTGTCTTCTCTACTCACCTCCCACCCCCATCAGCACTTCTCAGAAATACTATTTTCTATCCATCAGATTGACAAAGATTTGAAAGATTGACATACTTTGTTGGAGAAAAAGTAAAAAAACAAAACAAAACAAAACAAACAAAAACCAGGAAGTCTCATAGATCACTGGAAGGAATGTGAATCAATTACTGTCTCTAGAGAGAGCAATTTGTTCTTATCTACCAAGACTATACATACTTTGACCCAGAAATTCCACTTCAAGGATTTTATTATGCAGCTATACTTGCACATGTGCAAACAACATATCTACAAAATTATTAATTATAATAGCCAATAATCGGAAATATCTTAAATGCTAATACTTTGTAGCTACAAAAAAAAATGAGGAAACTGCACTGACATGGAGTGTCCTCGCAGGTGGATGGGGAGGTGACAGCGTGAGGTGCAGAGAAGTGCAGCAGTCTAAGCACCCATTTGTACATAAATAGGGGGAAAAGGCTGGTAGCAGTTCATGCCCGAGGACCACTCTGGAAGGAGCTGAGGTCAGGAGAGTTAAGGAGGGAAGGAGAGACATTCAATTTTCTCCTACATACACTTTTGAATTGTGTTATCATTTCCAAGTAAGTGCTAAAATTAAGTTAAAAATGAACAAACAAGCAAAGTCTGGCAACCTCCACACTATATGTTTAATCAAAGCACAGCACCTGTGTCCCGTCAGCCAGTTAATACACGGATGACAACTTCTCCTCTTTGGAAATCAAAAAAAGTGACTCATCTGGAAAATAATCTTTCAAGTAAAAAAGAAATTAGTTAGTGACCCCTGATCTCGGTTTGTAATTGTAAAGGGCAATTATTCTGTGGAGAAAATGTACTTGAACTAAGAAGACAATTTTATAAAATGGGAAAGTGTTGACTCATGTTCTGAGAAATAAATGTCCTATGGAAGGTACTGTGTGCCAGCATTCACACACGCACACGCACACACACACATACATGTAGATGTATATGCACACACACAAACACGCACACGGCATGTGCAGAGACATGCACGTACACACACGCCCCATGCCCGTCTTGGCAGCTTGGCTCTCCTCCTGAGTGAATGCGACAGCACGCACATGCATGTGAAGGCAAGCACCAGCCTACAGTCCGCAGTTCTGAGGCCCTCAGCTGGGTCTTGGCACTGCAGAGGAGGCTCTGTCTGATCAAACACCATGTGTTCTGAACTGCATTACATTTTACAGCTTTCCAAAGCACTGTCCAAAATCCTCCAACCCCTTTTCCGCAGAGGAACCCCAGCCATCTCGGTGTTTTTCCCTTGCCAGCTGACTGGGCTGGAGGCTGTGCTAGGTGCAGGAGGCCCCCCTTCGTCAGGGAGGGACACTGGGGTGGTTGAGTTTCCCCCATCACCCCATGACCGAGGATTGCTGCCCACCTCCCCTGCCAGTGAGGAGATGCCTCTCAAGTGCATAGTTGGCTCTGTGCTGTTTAAAATGGACTTTCTACCTACATTTGTATAATTTCGTAATGCTTGTAAGAAATAATGAACCTACGCAATTTAGTAGAGGAAAATTTTTGTCCAGAAAACTCAACTGACAGTGCTGCATGGGATCTGAGTTGCTGTGATCAGCATGAGCACATGTGAAGTGATGACTGCTTGTCTCAGCACTAATTGGTCAATACATTTTTATTGATCAGTAAATACCATGGGCCAGGCTCTGTTCTGGATGCTCTGAACGCCATGAGAAACAAGAAAGGCTAGGCCCTCTGTGGGTACTGCTCTCAGCAGAGCAGAATGGCTTAGGTCCGGGATCTCATCCCTTCCTCGGTAGCAGGAGGTACATCTGATGATTGACTGTCCATGATGTGTGTGATGTAGACATAGTCCCCCACTGGTCACTGGGGCTGAATTTTTTTCTTAGCCTTGCTCTGCAAATGACCTAATTTCTTTGCTAATAGAGCAGAAAATAGTCAGCTTGGTCATTTCTAAGAAAGCAGAGAGCATAGTAACTGTGGTCTTTTGTTAATCTAGCTCTTTCTTTTGTACAGATCGACAATTTCCTTGAAATCTGTGTCCCAATTAAAAACATATGTTTTTTTTTTTTTTTCCTTTTTTTTGTCTTTTTTCATGTCCAGCAATGGGATTGCAACCCTCGGTGTCGCTCCCACACCTCGCTCAGCCAGTGAGCGGGAACCAGTCTGTATGTGGGATCCGAACCCTCGGCGGGAGCGCCACCGCGCTCTCAAGCGGCGCACTGTAGCAGTGCGCCACCGGGCCGGCCCTAAAAACATATGTTTTGAGTAATCTTTCAAAACTTGGTTTCTCTTTTCCAACCATATTTGATACTTAAACCAGGTCAGTATTTCAAAGGTGGTCTCTCAACCTCGATCGAGTCTTTTCTTGTTTTTAGAGCCATATAAACAAAAGTAAGTTTTTAATTTATTTAAAATAAATATGTGAAAAACAAGCACCCATGACATTCGAAAGAGGCTCACTGGAGGAATTTGAATTTATGGTTTTCCACTTTAAAATATTTCCAAGAGACAATCAAAAGATACAACTCACATGTATTTGTAAAAGGTTTCTGTGTTACAAACGACAGAACACTCTGCTGGAACTGGCTTTAAGATAAAGCAGTGGTTCTCAACTTGGGGCTATTCAGCTCCCCCCATCCCCCGCCAGGGGACATTTGGAAATGTATAGAGACATTTTTGCTTGTCACAACTGTGTAGGGTGCTATGGCATCTCGTGGGTAGAGGCCAGGGATGCTGCTCAACATCCCGCAATGCACAGGAGAGTCCCCACAGCAAAGAATGATCCAGTCTAAATGTCACCGGGGCTGAGATTTAGAGACC